TAAAACAGGACCTTCCTTCCTTCCTTCCTTCCTTCCTTCCTTCTTTCCTTCCTTCCTTCCTTTTCCTTCCCTCTTCATTCTCCTTCCTTCCCCTCTTTCCTTCTTTTTCCTTCCTTGCTCTATTTCCATCTCCCTCCCCCCAGCCTCAGTTTTCGCTGGCAGAGGGCTGCAGGAAGCCGTCCAGGCTGAAAACGGGCCTTGGGATGGCTGTGTGCAGCCTTCCCAAGCTCCTTTTTCACTGGCAGAGAAACTGCGGGCCAGTCTTTTGCCCACAGATTCAGTCTACGGGCCTTGAGTTTGACACCCCTGGTCTAAATAAACAATCCAATAAAAAGGGCATGCAGGAAATTTTAACAGTCAGCCTTGAGTTTTAATTCTCACAGGCTTTAAAATTGATTTAAAAAAAATCAATTTCATCAAACTATATTGTGTATACCTCCCCATTTCACTTATAGAATCAGGAAAAAAATGGTCTTTGCCCCCACCTGTGAGGCACAAGAATTTCCAATGGCCCACCTGCATCCTATGCCAGATGCAGCCGAGGGATGTCATTCTCCCTATTACTCTCTTGTGCTGTATTATTCATTGATCTACCTGCATACAATTCTAGATTGCCTGAACTAACAAGGGCCTAATTACAGTAAAGGAGTGGCTTTCCATCAATGATCTGTTCCTGGAATGGGCAGTAAAATAACTATCATTCTTTGCTTGCACCATATGAATAGCAGCATCCATATGAGGTCCTTGTAGAACAGATAACAGATAATCAGAGTTGGAAGGGACCTTGTAGGTCATCTAGTCCAACCCACTGCCCAAGCGGGAGACCCTACCCCATTTCTGACAAATGGCAGTCCAATCTCTTCTTGAAAGTCTCAAGTGATGGTGCTCCCACAACTTCCGAGGGCAAGCTGTTCCATTGGTTGATTGTTCTGTCAGAAAGTTTCTCCTTGTTTCCAGATTAAATCTCTCCTTGTTCAGTTTCCATCCATTATTCCTTGTCTGGCCTACAGGTGCTTTAGAAAATAGCTTGACCCCTTCCTCTCTGTAGCAGCCCCTCAAATATTGGAAGACCGCTATCATGTCTCCCCTGGTCCTTCTCTTTACTAGACTAGCCAAGCCCCGTTTCTGCAACCGTTCATTGTATGTTTTAGCCTCCAGTCCCCTAATCAGCCTGGTTGCTCTTCTCTGTACTTTTTCTAGAGTCTCAACATCTTTTTTATAATGTGGTGAACAAAACTGGATGCAGTACTCTAGGTGTGGTCTTACTAAGGCTTTATAGAATGGTATTAGTACTTCCCTTGATCTTGATTGTATCCCTCTGTTAATACAATTTAGGATTGCATTAGCTTTTTTGGCTGCTGCTGCACACTGCTGGCTCATATTTAGCTGGTTGTCCACTAAGACTCCAAGATCCCTCTCATAGTCACTGCTATTGAGCCTGGTTTCACCCAGTCTATATGTGTACTTTTGGTTTTTCTTGCCTAAGTGTAGGATTTTACTTTTCTCTACACTGAATTTCAGAAGTGAATAAAATTTGTGGAAAAGCCTGAACTTTTAATTCATCGTGGAAAGGTAGTCAGACTATGAACAAAGAGGCTCTTTATTATCTAGCAATATATCATCTATTTAAATAAGTGTTACAGTAACATATGGGTAATAGGAATTCATCAAAAGGTCCTCAGGAAAGTGATATAAAGGTTTTACTCAAAGGTGTGTTTTCAAAAGGAAATTTCCTTACGGAAAAAAACATAGTCCAGTTGCCTTTGAGACAATCTGACCTGGATGACTGAGAATCTCCATAGACATAAAAGGTTTAGTTTGGAGGTGGAAATTGTATGATAAGACCACCTCATTTTTACTCTAGAACAGAGCTGTCAAACTCCCGTCCCATGGGCCAGATGCGTCAAGCGTTAGCCACGCCCGGTTTAATGAAGGGGAAAAAAGTCCCGATAGGTCACGCTACAGCCGTGTTTGACACCCCTGCTGTAGAATCTTGAGACACACTTTTGGGCAGTGTTCTCAGTCATGTTTTGTCGAGTTCCAAGTATAAGAGAGAAGTGGGATCCATTCTTAGAAGCCCTTTCACACACCTGTTTCTCCAGTTTTAGAAGAAAAGCCAGCCTGATAGCACTGACCGCTCCACTTGCTTCCAGATATGATCCAAAGGAGGGTCCAATGTAAAAGCAAAGTAGAGACTAGGAGATGGCATTTCGTCTCTTACAGATTGAGGAATTTACAATTAGCATATCCTTCAAATATCTGGCATCTGAAGTTGTCTGAAATGCCCTCTCCCCGCTTAGGATGTTACTTTCTTAAAAGTTACATTAAGGAAGTATTGGCATTTCTGTAATTGGACAGGAATGTTTTGTAGATTGAATTCATAGTTACCTATTTTGCAAATTCCTCTTTTATTTAATGTTTTGCTTGGCATTTTTCTAAAGCCAAAGTTGATCACTGAATAAATGACCCACTTTCTTGAAATGGAGTTAAATCTACTCCGTGAAGAGACACTTTGGAAACAGAACAAATTCTCTTTCTTTCCTGATTTTTGAGTCATAAGAAGATGGCATTTTAGACCCAATTATCTATTAATATATTACATGGGCTCAACATGGGGAAGTGGCCTTTTTTTCATTGTGCTTAGTCTGTAATGTAAAGACAATGAAGATAAATGGACATAGCTGAATTCTTTTGACAGCTGCACTGAAATCTGACTTTAGATTTTGCTGTTGTTATTGTTGGATAGAGCTGTGGTAGAATGAAAACAAAATCCTGCTAATTGGCTTGGAATTGGATGTGGCGTTTCACAGCAGTGCCTATCCTCAGCTTTTGATTTGTTTGACTGGAATGCTTATGCCTGAGAGAAAGAGAGAGAGGGGGGGAGGGAGAGGGAGAGAGAGGAAGAGAGGGAGGGAGAGGGAGGGAGAGAGAGAGAGAGAAAGGGATGAAGGGAAGAAAGGGAGATAGAGTAAGGGAAATAGAAAGTTCTATAAGTACTGTAAAACTAACCAGATTATCTTTTGAATAGCTGGCAAGATCCACTTAGGAAACTGTATAGGCACCAGAGGGAAGGGGGCAGCAGAAAGGCATCTTGATCTTGCTGCCCCACGCTGTATTCCTCTGGCCCTTTTATGACCTGAGAGCACCCAAAGACCCTTTCACTAGGAGGGACTATTCCTGTCACCTCCATCACCTTCATCACCATGTCACCTTTTATACTGTTTTGGAGTAAATTAGGGCAAAGACTTGAACCAGAGACTGATTGCCAACAACAACAAAAAGGAATAATATGCCAGATATAACGCTAAAAGCGTGTAACTATGTATTCCTTCTTGTAACACCCCCCCCCCAACACACACCAATTTTGCCTGGTTTCAAGATATATGGCTCATCCTCATCTCATAAATTTGGAGGTGAGATGATGTAATTTCTGTGTTTAAAAGTGATGTTCCCATGGGACCCTTAAAAGCAGAGACATCAATATTTGCAGAAAAACATGATTGCAAAAGGATGCATTGTTATGCAAATGCCAGCATTACAGGATGTCATTCACAGTGTTTACAGTACATGATGATGTCACACACATCTCAGCATTGGCTTTTTTTTTTTTTTTTGCTCCCCAGTCCCTTCTCCATCCCATAGATAAATGTTTACTTCTTTAGCAATAACGTAGCATATATCATAGTTAATAGATTCCTTCAGAGCCAAAGCCATATTCTGTCTTTGACAGGAATAAGGATTCACCTCTGGCTCGTGGCCACACCTACACTTCTAGTGAAGTTGTTTTGCAACTGCTCTCAGTGAGATCATCATAAGCATGCTAGTTTTATTCTCCCCTGGAGATAATTTGCATTCCAAGTAGCTTTGACTCAGAATGGATGTTAACACCATTCACTGATCATATTCTCATTGAGCAGTCATTAGGGAACTCTGTATTATATAGAAGGTGCTTCGGTGTAGATCCTGCTGAAACTTATAAAATAATAAAACCCACAAGGGTGGGTGTAGTTGGCCCTCACACAACCAGGAAGATGTCATTAGTTAGCAGTAACGTCACTGTGTCTGGCTGCAGGACTGCTCAGAAAAAAAAAATGGACAAAAAGCAACCAAAATGCTAAAACAATGTGACATTAGATTTTGCAGAGTAAGTCTGTTTCATTAGATACCTCCAGTATACTGTGAGATTCAAATATGCACATATTTAACCGAAGGCATCGATGGAAATAGAAAACACTGTGGTTGGAAGACAATAAAATGCAGAAGATGCAGACAATGATAACTTCATTCTTGTTTAGGGCATTTACATTTCCAGTCTGTTGAGTGACAAAGATACTATATATTTCATTGATCAGTTGATAAATATACAGAGTCTCAGTATTTATTTTAGGATGAGCGTTACAGAACTTAATAGCATCATTCATAACATGAATGAACTATTACTTATCTTCCGATGTCACTTATGCCATTGTTTAAAAGTGCTACTTTACTACATTCTGAATAGGATACACAGATCAGTTTCTACACAAAAGACAAATGTGCAAATAATACCCCCATAATTACAATTGCTTGAATCTTCTGCATTTAGGTTCCATTTAACTACTTGTTATAGAAATGTATATATAATCTATCTCAAGATAATATTGTAGAGATATTATAAAATATAGTCCATAAAAATTGTGTAGTTTCCTTTAACAGGATGATTGGGCATATCATACCCTGAACTGTAAACTAGCCATCCATGTTGTGACTTAATATGTTGTATGAATATAGTTTGTGTGATTATTTTACATGTATTGTTCAAGCCAAAGATTTGGGCCCAGTCAATGGTCTACAATACGACTTAAACAATCTACCAGAGTTATCACTCTGGAAACTGCTAAAACATTGCTTATAAACAGTCTAAAATAGTTTATTTTTACTCTTTTTAACGCTGATAGTTCCCAAGTTGTAGTAAAACATCCACAGAGGTGGAATAAGCAGAAATGACAGTTTATCCCCTTCCACAAGATCACCTTTAATAGTGCTGTTAAGAATGAGGAAGCAGGGCAAGTCAGAAAGGTAACTGGACCCCACATCCCCCAATCCTGGGACACACATATGTTGCATTACACGCCAATCTAGACAAGACAGTAGCTGTATGGCTAACTAGTGTCAATGGGGCTGTTGCGTTCGTGGGTGCCTGCATTTAAGAAGTGGTCTATAATGGTAGGTAGGGTGAGTCATTCTATTTGAGCATGCTCACCTTGGTCATCAAAGATCTGGCTCACCCAATGATTTGACCAGAACTTTTGGGACCCTGTCACATTTAGCATACAACAAAAAAGAATGGTGACCCTCAGAAATGGACCATTGCTTGTTTCTAATTCAGCAGTGATGTTGTTAAATAATGGTAAACTCTTGAGCAGGAAAGTCTGTGCCATAACCTCCAATTTCGTTGTGGCAAAAGAAAAAAGAAAAAGGGAGCAGTTGTTGGATGGAGACATGGCTTGTAAGGAAAAAGAGAGACTGCCATCAAAAGGACTGGCATGCAGACTTCTTTTGTATAACTTGTAGGCTGTCTATGAAAGAATGATTCCTTGGTCATCATACTTCTCCAGTTCAGAAACTGAGATGTGTTGTCTGCTGGTGGAAATAAATCTTGCTCCTTCCTATACCTCCTCCACTCATCCTGGTAGGACAGGCTGAGACAACTGAGTCCATGAAATCTTTCACTGATTTTGGCAAGAAGAGAGAAAGAGAACAATTGGATGCATAGTGAATTCCTCAGTGGTTCCCCCACCCTGTTAGTGAGCCTGAGTAGGATTCCCTGGCATTTGTAGTTTCTGCCATCCATAGTGCTGAGGAAGCATTGTCAGCACACAATTTCTTCCAACGTGCCAAGTGTTGTCTGCAGTGGGACTGTCACAGTGTGGCTTGTGGGAGCAGAATGGTTTGACAAGGGCTCACACCTGCTCTGTGAAGAGAAAAAGAGAAGACGACCAAAGGAGAATAAGTGGACAAGTCCATTCTTCAAATCTTACTTCAATTAAGAACTCACTAAACAGTTTTAGGCAGACATTCTTCTTTTGGCCTTAGCTATCTACCTCCAAGATAACAGTATTGGCATAGCTTGCAGAGATACAATATTGTAGGAGCTTTGCTATGTTGCATAAATGCTAGGCTTTATTAAAATCACTATAAGGGGTTTTAATATCCTACTAAAATAGGCCAAAAAGATAGGCATTTCAAGGATATAAATAGAGCTGATTTCCCATTTATATTAAGCTATTCATCTCATATTTTTTCTCAAGTTGTGATAAAATTCAGATCTGATGGCTTCAACACCAGCTACTCCTCCCCGCATTCCAGCCAGTGTTTGTTTGTTTACTGTCTTGATTGTTAAATTTTATGAAGAATGTAAAAGCTTGCATACTATTCTGCAACTTCTGACTTGTCCTAATAAATTGCCTAAACATGACGGTTCTCAAAATACAAGTGTGTTTCAACCTACCATTTTCAAATGGTGAATCCTGAAAGCCCCAAGGAAAAATTCAGAAAGGGTTTTGATGGCTGAGGGAATCACATTCTGTATTTGTACGGACATGACTTATTAATGACACAACATATATTTGAGCAAAAATGCATGAACGCATGCATTTAAAATGTTTAAATCTTGTTCATATTGGTATTGGAGTTACAACACTTCTTTAATTTATCTCATTAAAATCAATGGAATGTGAAAGAATTTAGTTTGGGCAAGGTTTATATACACCTATGCACATGCACATGCATGTAGAAACACACACAGACACACGCACACAAATGAAGACAAATATCTGTGAAGCTTGATATTGGAAACAATTACACTTTGAAATTTGAAATAGGATTCATAGGGGGAGGGAGAGAGTGTAAAATTTTGAAGAGCATTTTTTTTAGAATTTCAAAAACTAAAGTCACATGCCTTCTTAAACCCAATTAAAAATACTCCCAAATAAAGATTGGATTATTTTGCAATTGTTTCCTCATAAATGAATTCTGTTAAGTTCAATAGAACTTACTCTCAGATAAGACGTACACAAGATTACAATATCCAATTAATTTCACTGTTTTTGTTGCATAAAAAGAATCACTCTTTGAAGCCGATAAGGTATGCTTAGAGGGGCGCGGTGGCCAAGCAGTTAAGACGTTGGGCTTGTTGACCGGAAGATTGGCAGTTTGAGACCAAGTACTATGTGACAGAGTGAGCTTCCATTACTGGCCCCAGCTCCTGCCAACCTAGCAGTTCAAAAGCTTGTAAATGCAAGTAGATAAATAGGTACCACTTCGGTGGGAAAGTAACAGTGTTCTGTGTACCTTCGGCACATAGTCATGCTGGCCACATGACCACAGAAGCGTCTTCGGACAATGCTGGCTCCTTGGCTGTGAATCGTCGGAGATGAGCACCACCCCTTAGAGTCAGACACGACTGGCAGGGGAAACCTTTACATTTACCTTTTAAGGTATTCTTAATTTCTTTCTTGCAATGATGACAACTGTAAGATTGCTAAAGCCCTGCCTATAACAAATCAGGTTGTTAGAAGAGGAGGGACAGGAGCAGGAATATTGCATCTGGGCTGTAAAAATCCAGACCAAAAACCAATAATGGCAGCAAATAGTTAAAATTTCTGGACATCTGATAATTATCTGGAGTTTTGCACACCAGATTTGGTAGCCTACCAAGGAGACATATGTATCTCTTTTTCTTTTACGATGCACTTAAAACAAACGAAAAGCAAAACAACTAACCAACAATAAGATGCCTTCCCAGTGAAAGTCAAATATTTTGAATAAGGCAGACTTCTAACTAATAGACTAATAACATTATTTTGAAATAAGTTTGTGAAGCAATAAGATAAAGTGGATATGTGGGCACACTTCCGATCTGCAGCATTTATTTTGTTGATTATGAAATCAGTCAATTGAAGCTAGTAAGAAAAGTCTCATTTTGAAATCGGAGATGGAATTAAATGGCATTCAGGGACTTGATTTAAAAAGACTAATTTTAATTGTTTTTCTATTCCTCACCCATTTCCTATTAGTAATGTTTCTACCTCTTCTAATCCCCTCAACAATGCTGTCTGAATGTTCATGTTTGTCAACCTCAAAAGGCAGCAACATACATGGAACATCAGGAGCTAATCAGGTTTCACCTTTTCCCTTCAATGGGAGACTCCAAAGAATATTGTGCTATTGGTATCTAATGCACTAAGCCAGTGGTCTCCAACCTTGGCAACTTTAAGACTTGTGGACTTTAACTCCCAGAGTTCCTCAGCCAGCTTTCTGTGAGTTGAAGTCTGCAAGTCTTAAAGTTGCCAAGGTTGGAGACCCTTGCACTAAGCAATAATCCCCCTCACACTCGTATAGCCACTGTCCATGCAAAAAGGAAATAAAATAAATTGTATAATAAACAGTAAGCATTAAAATTTTCCAAAAACTTTCTACATGCTTTGTTTCCATTCCTCTGTGACATTTAAAAAAAACCCTGTGAGCTGTGAAGGTGAAATGCTGCCATGCCTGCAATTTTGCAATCAACTAAAAATGGGGGTGGGGGAGAGGGGGAATTTTAACCAATACATATAGGGAGAAACAAGCTCCAGGCACAGAACTTCTATTGGCTGGGGTGGAGTAGGGTGCAGGAGTCTAAGATCCAGGGCAACTCAAGAGTTCTGCCAATGGGAAAATGTATTCCCTACAAGTTTTGCAGAGTTCTTAGTAATTCAAAGGAAATGTCCAATTTTGCAGCAATTTTCAATAAATCAGAGGAGTATCAGAAAAAAAATGAGTCAGTTGCCTTAAGAGAAGGTGATATGGAATCAATCAGGATCAGAGCTAATCACAAAGTGATGCAAAATGGTGATTTTGAATGGCTCTCAGGAATCCACCTTTTGGAAGGTTTCTTCATTTAAGCAGCATTACATAGGGCAGAAATGGGATTTATTATTCAGAAATCCCTGCCAAGCCAATGCAAGTCAACTAGAGATCTAGAAATAAAGCTATCCAGAGCTAACTTATGCCCATCCCTTATTTAATTAACAGATGACCATTTGCTCCAGAGCTCACTCAGAGCTTTTTTTGTCAAGCCAGAAGTCAATCTGTACAATGTGAATTTAAAAAAGGACCCTCTGAGTAAATGCAAATGACTTTGCCTTCTGCATAAGAATAACTACAAGAAGCTGCTGCATCTGAGATTGGAGAGTAAACTACTGAAGCAGAAAGCATAAACTCGAGGCCCAGTGCCACTCTGTGCAGAAATTAAGGTCATCTCCCCTGCCAGATTGAAAATAGACTCTGCCAAGGAATATGTCAATGTGCTATATGTTGGCTTCTGCTTTTGTGAGTCCTGGCAGGGATGTGGGCCTACTTACCACATTCTCATCATGGCTTCCGTCTTCTTCCTCTGGGCCAAGAAGATCAAACAGTTTCTCTTTGATCAGCTAAAAGAAACAGGAGAAAAGATAAGATTCTCAGTTGCAGCAAAAATCTGATACATCCCAATCCTCTGGCAGCAGAAAGAGAGGTCCTCTTCTTTACATAGCACTGTGTTGGATTAATTATTTATTCTTAATCCACCTAGTAAATTCAGGGCACTGAAGCCTGTTTGCATAAGAAGTCTGACCCAGTACTCTTTTTTGAATTTAAAAATTTATTTAGCTTTGTTCACCTACTTCTAAGGCTCCTCTTGCTTTCTTAAAGTCTAGAAATACATTTTGTTTAAAAAAAAGTTAAAAGGAACAATGCTAAGATTTAATTTTAATGTTGTAAAATTCTTCTTTCCATACTGCAACTCTCATGAGGGCAATTTTCAGCAAACGATTATTATCTTAGTTTAGGATTACTTTCCAGAGATAATTATATTGCTCTAACCAGGAAAAATAAGGGAGGGGGGGGGAAACATGTTTCAAAGCCCTGCATTTGAATTATCTCAGAGAAAGACAGATGTTGCAGGGCAAACCTGTATGCACAACAGATTCTCTTGCCAAATTCAACCAAGTGAATCATGCTATGATTTTCTAATCTGTTCCCAGAAACTGCTTTGTTTAACAGGCCCTAAATTGTATGCACTGGGGAGGTCCTATCCTGTCCTATGCTTGGGCATCCAACTAACTGCAGTCCAGGAACAAGACCTGAAAACGGATAGACTAGTATTTATTCATTTTTGCCTTTGCTTGCAGGGATGCCAGTCAAAAGGCAAGCTTAAATTCTACTTTTTATTGGGCTGGTTGTATGTCGTAAAGTTAGGATGCTTTGGCTTCTGATACATCTTACCCCAACCCTAAACTGTATCTTTTTGAGAATTCCCCAGTCTGGAGAGAGCCAGCCGTAGATGTGGCAACCAAGATTCCAAATCACTTTTTCCTTCCAAGGTTTATTTGTTATTCACTTCTTTTTTTTAAGTTAAATGTATATCACACTTTCTCCAGGATCCTAAACAATGTGTAGCACACTCTTCCACAAGAATAACACACAGTGAGGCTTGAAAGGGAGTTACTTCTGAATGTAAGAATCCCTGCTTTTCATAGAGTACCCGTATATACTCGAGTATGTCGACCCGAATATAAGCCGAGGCACCTAATTTTACCACAAAAAA